GCTACCCTTCCACCATCGGCATCCCACTCGGTTACATCTGTACCCCGCTCGAGCGCCTCCAGCAAATCCCTCACCCGCTCCTCGCCCTCCAGCCAGGCCAGCTCTCCCTTGACGTCCTCGACCTCGTCGACCTGTCGATGCCTCCCCCTGCCGCCGCCCACCAGGCCATCGTCGTTGACGACAACGAGATCACTGCCGTTCACTTTGCTGCCTGATCGCCCGGTCTCTAACATTCGCGGGTTTTGGGGTACTATACTTCCTCTTGTCCTGAGAACGATTGCCGTGCACAGCTTTACACCATCTGTAGTGAGCTTTCAGGAGACGTTCGCAACTCGCTTGTGGGAAATTACATCGCCTGGGGTTCTCATCTTATACATCTCGGTACTCAGTCCAACTCTCTCTCGCTTCGTTACGTATATTGGGGTCGCATCGTCTCTTACAGAAAACAAGTCAAAAAACCCTATTCTGAAATCGTTCCCGGCCTATTTGTAGACAAATATGCCTTTGTTACTCCCCAGTCTCCCAACGCTCCGTTCCCCACAGTCTTTTATCATCCCTCGTCATTCCCCTTCTTTAAAACCCAAGAAAAATAGCCTTGTTGCCTTGTAGGACTTGTACAATCACCTTTGCTGCATAAACCTCCGCTTCAATCACCGTTTTGGACGCCAAAAACTTCTTTGGTATCTGGAACCCACAGGCTCAAACCAATCAAAACACCCCTCAAGCGGTTGACTTTGAGCTACCTCCGTCACCACCAGCCTTCTCAGATGCTACCCCTCCTACAGACCCAGAAGTCGATTCATCTGTTGGAAGCATGGCGGACATCATGAACCCCGCTCCGGTTATCACCCAGATTTCACGGCTCACATCGCCCACTCCCCCTGCACTTCCTCAACTTGGAGCAGAAGCTATGCCCAATAACATCCTACGCACTCTGGCTAATACCCTAAGGCCTAGGCGTGAAGCGCCTCGCACAGAGATGTGTAAGATTGCGGACTTCAAGGGTACGGAAACGTCGGAGCAAGCCGAGGATTGGTTCCGCCAGTTGGAGATCTGCTATGACAACAAGCATGTCACGCGTAGCTCAGAGAGGATTGATACAGCCCTCTCGTACATTGTTGGCAACACCGCTCCTTTTGCACAGCGCATACGTCAGGAGCGTCAAGATTACATTGAATGGCAAGGAGAAGAAGGAGCAGCTGAGCCTCCTGACTTTCGATCCAGACAATATGCCAACAGCTTGTCACACTTGGGATGAGTTCAGGGACGAGTTCTGCGTAACTACATAGATGTTGATCCAGTCACCACCGCTCAGGAGAAGCACACTACAATGCTGATAGACCCGAAGGAGCATGCGGATGAATTCATCATGCGCTGGAAGAATGTTGCTGCCCACTCAGGATATGAAGGCACGGCACTTATTCGCATGTTCCAAGACTCGCTTGTCCTTGTCCCTCGCCTTCTTACCAAGGCTCTGGACCTGCGAGTATGCCCAGAGGGTGTTACAGATCAAGGAGGTTACCGCCCGGACTCCATTGAGGAATGGTATAGGACTATTGGCGATTTCAACCGCTCTTATCGCCAGGCGCAGTCATGTCTCGAGTTCATTCAGGGACATACACGCATGCAAGCCAAGCCCTCTCCACATCTGCAGGCTGGTCAATTGCAACAGCAACAGCCTCAGCAACAGCATTGTCCGCATCCGCGTCCGCCTCAGGTTCAGCAACAGTACTACGCTCCCCCACCTGGACCACCTCCCGTGAACAACTTCGCACCTCGCTTCACTCCCCATCCATATGTATCCAACTAAAGGCCCCTGTACACGCCTCTCAACAGTTTAGGAGACTATTGCACTCCCACAGGCTGTGTATAAGGAGGTTCGGGACAACCTATGACCGTTGGACGCGTGGATATGTCCCAGATTGAGTGTTACAATTGTCACAAGATGGGACATTACACTCGAGACTATCAATCGGCCGGACCAAGCAGTGAACAACGCCAATGTCCTGCTCAACAGGTCCGCAATGCACAGGTTCCCACTGCTGCTGAGCTGGTGGATATGCTTCCTCCTGGAGAGTTAGATATTATGGCACATGCCTTGCAGAGTGCGCACTCCCAGCATGAGTCTAGTCGAGCAAACAGCTCAGTCAAGGGCAAGGCACCGCAGAAGGGTTTTTGCCGCGGCCGGAGATAGACATGGTGTCTTTGGTCAACAAAGTTTCATTAGACTCATTGGACTCTGACTCAGCTAACATGACGCAATGTGCCGCGTCTATTCATGTACCACCACCTGTTGCCAATAACAATGATCATCTTTTGTTAAATACCGTGAGGAGAGTTGAGCAAGACTCTCTGAATACTCGACAAACTCAGCTAGAGACTAAAGAGTCCCTGACGATCCCGCGTGACCTGTTGCCTGACAAGCAGTCAGATGTCATCTGCCCAAGGCATCAGCTTGATGTCGTTACTCTAGTTGAGACCCTTCACAGCGGCTCGGATGCAAGAGAAGCTATATTAGAGCATCCGCGCGCTGCGAAGGTGGTAGCCCTGATTGATTCAGGATGTACAGACTCAGTCATGGATCGAACATTTGCAAAGCTTCACAGCTTTAAGGCCAAGCCGCTTCCTCGCTCTATTTCAGTTAAGAATACAGATGGTTCTGCTCATCGCTCCAGTCCTGTTATGCATTACGTTGACTTGCTTGTGACGATACAAGGCCATGCGGAAAAGATCCCTGTCGCTCTCGCCGACCTTGGGTCCACTCCCTTGTTTCTTGGTCACAATTGGCTGAAATTTCACTCGTAGAAGTAGGCTACCCAGCTTGCAGGAACGAGTCATCCCTGACCTTTTTCTACTCTTGGAGATTGTGTTATCATGATATTTTTACTACTCAATCTAAGCCTACATAGGTTTACAGTCAACTCTGTCTTAACTCATACCCTACGGTGGACGCTCAAAAGTATGGGTTATTACAGAGTATGGGTTGCG